TAAGTGCGTGGACTCTAATCTGGGAGAACCGGGTTTGATTCCCCACTCCTCCACATGCACCTGCTGGATGACCTTGGGCAAGCCATAGTTCTGACAAGAGCTGTCCTTGAAAAAGAGCAGTTTCTGTCAGAGCTCTCTCAGCCCCACCAACCTCAATGGGGGTCTGTTGTGGGGAGAGGGAGGGAAAGCCTTCTTCTTCTTCTTCTTCTTCTTCTTCTTCTTCTTCTTCTTCTTCTTCTTCTTCTTCTTCTTCTTCTTCTTCTTACATTCTTCTCCTCTTTTTCTTTCTCTTCTCTCTCTTTCTTCTTCTTCTTCTTCTTCTATCACATTGTTCTCCTCTTTTTCTTTCTTTTCTCTCTTTTGGTATTTGTGTGTGTGTGCGTGTGCGTGCACACTTGCAAGCCTGGAGGTCATCGTTGTCCTCTGGCGATCCCTAGTGGGGCTAGGATATTTCAGAGAGATGGCTTGATATTCCCTGCCTCTGTGTCCCGGCCCTGCTATTCCTTGGAGGTCACCCTCCCAAGCAATGCTCCCTCTAAGCTGTGGAGTCTTGTGAGCAGAAATTCTGCTTTGTGAGCTAGTGGCATTAAAGTTGTGAGCGAGCGATTTGGCTGCTGCATAAATTAGTTTGCTCTGGAGCCATCCTTTCCCCCTCTTTCCTTTGCACCTCCCCTTCAGTTCACCTCTCTGCTCCATATCCCGGCCCTGCTGTCGCTGCCACCGCTCCATCCTACCGAAATCCTCCCCAGCGTCCCGAGAGCTTCCTTTTCCGAAATGCCGTGAGGGATGACGTGAGCAAAGGTAAGCCATGTGGACAGACGTGACTGAGGTTGCTCCCGCACAGAACTGTCCCTCCACATCCCTCCTTCCAACCGTAGGGGGGTCGGGGGTGGGTGGGCTTCCCCATGACACTGATGTGCAGTCGACTTTCCGGCTTTCCCCCAGCTCTGCTGTGAGGTGCTGGAGCAAACATACCCAAGGCAGGTTCCAAGTGATGTGAGGTTGTGTGTTTCTGTACTTCCTCGTCTTGACACCGTTCCCTCTCAGTCTCCCCCTCACTTGCCCTTCACCTCTGCCATCAGGGGCCATTTCGCCAGGTCTCTGGAATCAATAATAGGTGTTTTGCTGCGATGTTAAAACAAGAGGGGAAAGGCGGCTGGTGTGTTCTGAGTGGGAACAGAGGCAAAGGTTCAGTAGCGGAGCATCTGCTCGGCGTGCAGGTCCCAGGTTCAATCCCCGGCATTTCCAGTTAGAAAGACCAGGCAACAGGTATTGTGAAAGTCCTCTACCTGAGGCCCTGGAGAGCCGCTGCCAGTCTTAGACAGTACTGACTTTGATGGACCAAGGGCCTGATTCAGTATAAGGCAGCTTCATGTGTGGGGAGGGGCCATGGCTTGGTGGCAGAGCCTCTGCTTGGCATGCAGAAGGTCCCTGGTTCAATCCCCGGCATCTCCAGTTAAAAGGACCAGGCAGGAGGTGATGGAAAGGACCTCTGCCTGAGACCCTGGAGACCTGTAAAGAGGGGCCGTGGCTCAGTGGAAGAGCCTCTGCCTGGCAGGCATCAGGTCCCAGGTTCAATCCCCAGCATCTCCAGTTAAAAGGACCAAGCAGGAGGTGATGTGAAAGACCTCTGCCTGAGACCCTGGCCGTGGCTCAGTGGAAGAGCCTCTGCCTGGCATGCAGGAGGTCCCAGGTTCAGTCCCCAGCATCTCCAGTTAAAAGGATCAGGCAGGAGGTGATGGGAAAGACCTCCGCCTGAGACCCTGGAGAGCTGTAAAGAGGGGCTGTGGCTGAGTGGAAGAGCCTCTGCCTGGCATGCAGAAGGTCCCAGGTTCAGTCCCCGGCATCTCCAGTTAAAAGGACCAGGCAGGAGGTGGTGGGAAAGACCTCCGCCTGAGACCCTGGAGAGCTGTCAAGAGGGGCTGTGGCTCAGTGGAAGAGCCTCTGCCTGGCATGCAGAAGGTCCCAGGTTCAGTCCCCGGCATCTCCAGTTAAAAGGACCAGGCAGGAGGTGATGTGAAAGACCTCAGCCTGAGATCCTGGAGAGCTGTCAAGAGGGGCTGTGGCTCAGTGGGAGAGCCTCTGCCTGGCATGCAGGAGGTCCCAGGTTCAGTCCCCGGCATCTCCAGTTAAAAAGGACCAGGCAGCAGGTGATGTGAAAGACCTCAGCCAGAGACCCTGGAGAGCTGCCGCCAGTCTGAGTAGGCAATACTGACCATGACGGACCGTGGGTCTGATTCACTAAAAGGCAGCTTCATGTGTCTGATGGCACATTTAAGGGGGAAACACTGCGGCAGAGAGAGCAAAACTGGAAATTCTTCCCCCTGTGGAAGAAACCTGAATGATCCCATCAGTTCAGTTAACCTTCAGTGCCCCGTTGCATTGATTAGGCAGGTGCTTTGTTGTTACCGGCTTTAGCCAAGTTTTCACAAGTGAATCAGAGGGGAGTACGTATCTGGAGTGGACTGTTGTCACGATGCAGGTGGGCAATTTCTTGACTGAACATTGTTCCATCCCCCCAAAACACAGCACCCTGTGCACACAAAAAATGTCAGGGCAAAGGGTTGCAGTAGAACTGTTCTCCGTGACTGTTTTTTCATGCGCAGTGAATTTTTATGTAGGGCCCCACCTGCCAGGGTGAAGTGTTAAGAGTCACAGCTTAGCCACCCCATCTGCTGTTTGACGACAGCGAGCCCCTTGTTTCAAACATCTGCCCTCGTATGCTGGGCTGGCTAATGTCTCCACTTTGTCCTTTCTAAAACTAGCCTGATCCATACTATTTGGGGGTCTAATGGAAGGAGAGCATGCTACTAGCATCTGCTGCTGATGTCCTTTTGCAGGATCCCCCAGCCTCTGACCGTCTCTTTGTACATGTGGGCTGCAGTCCAGGTTTGAGGGTTTTCCCTAATTCTGTAAATGTGAACTCTGCAGATCGAAACCATGTTTGGCTTGGGGTGTGTAGAAAACTGTGCAGTGTCACGCACCAGCTCCCTCTTAATTGCCATAATGCGGCCTGCAGTCTGTTTTGAAAACTTGGGAAACGAGTGGTGCTAAATGCCTACTGCTGGGCTTAAGAACATCAGAAGAGCCCTGCTGGCTCAGACCAGGGGTCCATCTAGTCCAGCATTCTGTCTCACATAGGGGCCACCAGTTCCTCTGGAGGGCCAACAACAGGGCAGAGAGGCCGAGGCCTTCCCCTGATATGAACCTAAGAAGATCCCTGCTGGGTCAGACCAGTGAGGGTTCCTCTAGTCCAGCATCCTGTCTCACACAGTGGCCAACCAGTTCATCTGGAGGGCCAACAACAGGGCATAGAGGCCGAGGCCTTCCCCGATCGGAACATCAGAAGAGCCTTGCTGGATCAGACTAGTGAGGGTCCATCTAGCCCAGCCTCCTGTCTCACACAGTGGCCAATCAGTTCCTCTGGAGGGCGAACAACAGGGCACAGAGGCTTATGTTCTTAATAAGAACATAAGAAGAGCCCTGCTGGATCAGACCAGTGAGGGTCCATGTAGCCCAGCATCCCTTCTCGCACAGTGGCCAACCAGTTCCTCTGGAGGGCCAACAACAGAGTGTAGAGGCCAAGGCCTTCATAAGAACTTCAGAAGAGCCCTGCAGTGCTGGATCAGGCCAGTGGTCCATGTAGCCCAGCATCTTGTCTTATACAGTTGCCAGCCAGTCCCTCTGGAAGCCCAGCAACAGGGCACAGAGGCCGAGGCCTTCCCCTGAGGTTGCCTCCTGGCCCTGGGATTCAGAGGCTGACTTCCTTTGAATGTGGAAGTTCCTTTCAGTCTCCCTGGCTGGTAGCCACCGATGCAACTGTCCTCCATGAATCTCTCGAATCCCCTTATGAAGCTGTCTTCGCCTGTGGCCATCACTACATCCCCTGGCAGCGAATTCCACATTTTAATCGCTCACTGTGTTAAAGAAGCATTTTTCTAACTGTAAGCCTGTACGGTGGCCCAGAAGCAAAAACAAAAGACGGGGCAGCCTGTGGGAATACCTTGCCTGGATTAAGAACGAAAGCTTCCCACGCTCAGCTGTACGGGACCTCATTCCTCCCCTCTCTTTCCCAGCTGCCGCGCTGCCCCCCTCTCCCACCGCCGCTCCCGCTCACAGCACTGAAGACTGCAGCGAGAACCACGACTCCAAGCTGCAGGAAGAAGAGGTCGAGCTGATAGAGCAGCTGCGGAAAGTACGTAGCCCTGGTTGCTTTCTCCTCTGTGTGGACGACGTGAGAATGACCCTGCATGGTGATTGGCTAGACTAGTCCGGCCTCCCCTTTCCGGGAGCAGCCAACCAGACACCTCCTCCGGGAGCCCAAGCGGGCAGGAGAGGGAGGAGGTGGTGGCGGTGGTGGGAAGTGGTGGGCCAACAACAGGGCAGAGAGGCCGAGGCCTTCCCCTGATATGAACCTAAGAAGATCCCTGCTGGGTCAGACCAGTGAGGGTTCCTCTAGTCCAGCATCCTGTCTCACACAGTGGCCAACCAGTTCCTCTGGAGGGCCAACAACAGGGCAGAGAGGCCGAGGCCTTCCCCACTCCTCCACATGCAGCTGCTGGTGTGACCTCAGGTCAGTCACAAGTCCGACATACCTGAGGGACCGCCTTTCCCCATATAGACCCCAAAGAGCACTTCGGTCGGGGTCACAGCACCGTTTAGTGACCCCGGGCCCAAAAGAGGCTAGGCTAGCTACCACAAGGGCCAGGTCCTTTTCGGTGGCGGCCCCTATCTGGTGGAATGAGCTCCCAGAGGAGATCAGGGCTCTGCGGGACCTTTTACAGTTCCGCAGAGCCTGTAAGACGGAGCTCTTCCGCCAGGCTGTTGAATAGGGGACGCCGCCGCCATTACCGGACCTCTTCCTGTCATGTAATGGAGTAAGTGTAAGTTTAGTCCTCCATGTATCTTGTGAGTTGTGAACTGTTTAATTTATGTTGTTTTTAATGTATTTGGGCACTTGTGCCTTGTAAGCCGCCCTGAGCCTGCATGCGGGGAGGGCGGGGTAAATAATAAATAAATAAGTGCCATCGCGTCGCAGCCAACTCACGACAACCACGTAGGGTTTTCAGGACATGAGCAGAGAGCGGTTTGCCATCGGCTGCCTCTGCCTCATGACTCTGGACTTCCTCGGTGGTCTCCCATCCAAATGCAAACTGAAGAGCCAGTTTGGTGTCGTGGTTGGGAGCGCGGACTCTAATCCGGGAGGACCGGGTTTGATTCCCCACTCCTCCGCATGCAGCTGCTGGTGTGACCTCGGGTCAGTCACAAGTTCTCTCGGAGCTGTTATCTATCTCAAGGGCAGTTCTCGAGAGAGCTCTCTCAGCCCCACCTAGAATCATAGAATGTTAGAGTCGGAAGGGACCTTGCAGGTCATCTAGTCAACCCCCTGCACTCTGCAGGACCTCCCTCACAGGGTGTCTGTTGTGGGGAGGGGAAGGCAAAGGAGATGGTAAGCCGCTCTGAGACTCCTTCGGGTAGTGAAAGGCAGGATATAAATCCAATCTCTCCTCCTCCTCTTTCTCTCCTCCTCCTCCTTCCTCCCACGGCATGACCTGCTTAGCTTCCGAGATCAGATGGCGGTTTGCAGCTGCCTACCTGCGTAGCAACCCTGGACTCCCTTGGTCGTTTCCCACCCAAGTGCTAACCACAGCCCACCCTGCTTAGCTTCCAAGACCTGACAAGATCGGGCTAGCCTGGGCTATACAGGTCAGGAGGAAAGA